GTTGAATGATGCCTAACTTCCTATGCATCTAAACAAGTAATGTTCACCTGACGCGGCAGATGAAATGTAAACAAGGCGAGCGTTGTGCCGGACGGAACACTTACGGGAAGGACACTGTGACGCACAGTTTGTTTTCTGTTCACTTCGTACTTTCGGGTCAGACGTAGTCGATGTTGAGTGGCCCAAACGATCGCCCGGTGGGCAACACGAACAAAAGTACGCAGACCGTGACCTGATCAGACGACTTGTAGCAGAATTAAGGCGCAGAGCCAAGTCTACTAGGCGCTCTGGGAGTCGTGCTTACATGCTTGAAGTGGCTAACAACACACAACGAATCTCCACAAGAGCAACCGAAATCATATCAGGATGAACGATCACTGACTGTGTGCATGCAAACACTTTGGTGGCTGTGATGGGCAGCTATGGAAAGGATTAATCCGCTTGCAATTACTTACGCCTGTACAAGGTAGCTTAAACGTATATTTGCAATATGCGACCACATGCTTTTGCAAGCCCAACAATGCCGTGTGTGATTAAAATGCGGCTGTCTGTTGTATTTTTAAAGAAATCACAAATTACCTAAGGGTAAAATAAGTGAGAAAAACGTTGCATGTTTTATCGAAGATTGGTAACCGAAATACAACATTCCTCATTACTGTGCCCGAGGGGTAAGAGATAACACAAGCATAAGGAAACAAAGATAAAGTTAACACGGAGCAGATATCCGGCGTCGTTGGCCTGACTCGACTAGACGGCGCGAGCCCATGTTCAGTTGAAGGTGAGAGCCGGTCACCAGTTGCTATTATGTTGCGTTGTCCTACATGACTGCGAAAACCCCGACAAATATATTTAGTACTGTGACTACGGATGTTTATCCCTGCTTTCACGGACAAAAGTAGAGCAGCTAACTTCCTGCCATATTGGACGATTCAATCGAGCGTCACGATTAGTAAAACCCACTGGTTAGGCCCCAACAATGAGATTCAATTCGGTCAATATACAGTTTGAACCCGCGACATAAAATAAGATCCGTTTGCCTATAAGAGCCCAACTTCTGCCAATAGTAGAGAATATGCAAGTTCCAGGAAGCAGTTCAGAAGAAGAGGATGCGATCACTGGAACAAGAGTT